TGTTTACACTGAGTACTGTGAGGCTAAGCAAAATTTGCCAACTGGACAGAAGGGAAGATGAGGGTGCTCCAGGTGAAAGGAACAACCCAAAGCAGAAGCAGGGGGGGCTTGTGATCCCCACATTTGGGGCCAATTCATGAAACTTTATGTCATGCTAAAGAGTTTGAACTTGGTCTTAAAGGTGACAGGTAATATTCAGTGATTTTGTTTTTAAAAAGAAGTGATGTATCGCATTTCCATTTTAGGAAGTTTATAGAGAGGATTATCTCGAAAAGAGGGTATACTGAATGGGGAGACTAGTTAAAAACAATGGCAGTCAAGTAAGTGAGAGTTGCAATTAAGAGAGCAGGAAAGAGGGTAAACTGCTTGAAGGGTATTTAGAAACTAGAAATTATTTCCAGCAACTGGGAAGAATTTTCCTTTCTCTGCAGTGGAGGAGCAGAGCCTAGAAGAGGAAGGGAGTTAACGAGTTGGGATTAAACATGTTGAGCTAGAGACAACAGTGGGACATCTGGTGCAGGGGTGACAGGAGGTGGGAGATAGGAGTTTGGAGCCCGGGAGAGAGGACAAGAACAGGACTATGGATCTTGGAATCACTGATATACAGATGGTAGCTGGGGTCACAGGTGTGGACGAGATAACTCAGGGAGCACACAGCAGATGAGGAGGACAAGGCTAAGGACAGCCTTGGGGAACAATAGTTCCAGGGGTGGGAGAAGGATAAAGAAAAGCACAAGGGAAACAAAGAAGTAACCAGAGATGAAAAGAAGGAATAGAGAGGAGTACAGAAGCAGAAAAGGGAAGTAAGCAATGGAGTGAACCTTGATTGAGCTGATTGAGCTCTGATCCAGCACCCAACCCTGTACCAGGAGTTTTACATATGTTCTCTCACTTAATGCTCCTGGAAAAATCCCATGAGTGAGTATTAGTTTCCTAATTTAACTAAAATGGAAATTGTATCCCAGAGAGGAGAAATAACTTGCCCAGGATTACATAGCTACCAGTGGTGAAATGGGATTAAAGCCAAACCTATCTGGCTCCAAAGTTACTAATACTCTTTTCATAGCATAAATTACTTCAGAAAGGTCAAGTCAAATAAGGCTGAAAATGGCTGGGTGAATGTAAGAAGTCATTGTCCAAGCAAGGAGAAAACTTCACTGCAGTGGGTTGGAGAGGGAACAGAGGTGAGCACACAGAGACAGTGAAGGTACAGTTGTGTTTCGGGGGGGGGGGGGAGGGGTTCTTTGAGAAAACCACCCTTACCCACTCAACAAGCATCCCAAAGTATTTCTGACTGTTCCTATTATGCACTGCACACTGTTCTAGGCCCCAGGCATGCCAAGTAGCTGCTTTTGAAGAGCCTGCATTTCAGTGATGAGGCACTTGTCATATTATATCAAACACAACATATGTCAGATGGTAGGAAGTGCCAGGAAAAGAAATACATGCAGGTAGAGAGTGAGAGGTGATGTGGAGAGGAGAAAAGGTAGTACTTTAGCTAGGATGGTCTCCGATAAGACGCTTGAACAAACACTGGAACGAAGCCCTTAGGAGAGTGAGGCTTGCAAACAAACCCAGGCAGAAGGAACAGCGAGCACACATGCTCAGAGACAGGATAACACCAGTCACATTCCAGGTCAGCCAAGAAGCCAGCAAGGCTGATGTGAATTAAGGAATGAAGGGAGTGACAGCAAGGAGATCTGGAAGCCATAGCAAGAAATCTGGGTTTTAGAGTGAGATAAGAATCTTCTGGAGGCAAGAGGTGCTGTCCTTGATCATCCCTCCCAAAGAGAGAGGTTACTGAACGAGAGCTCCCTGGAAAATGGTGCTCCACGCTCACCTCCTTTCTGGCTGGAGCACCTGGAGGGGGCATGGAGTGGTAGCAGAGTACTGATGAGCAGAAAAGCTGGTAGACCAGGGTCAAGCCCAGAGCAGGACACTAAGTAGCCTTCTGCAGCCCCTCCTTAAGTCCTCGAGGCACCCGGGCAGGGCATTCATCAAAGCCACCATGTGTGGAGTAACCCTGGGTACCCTGAGTATTCCTACTGGAAGTCTCTATCTCAGCCCATCCCTGCCACCTGGAATCCCTCCCCAAACAGATGTACTAGACAAAAGGAACCAAAACAGGAGAGGAACTCTTAAATATCCAGCACCTTGTGCAACCTCAGGAAGATGCTATGTCCCAAAGTGGTTTCAGAGAATTAAAAGCTGATCCTCTGATCAGAAACCAAGGCTCCCTGGGTATGTGAGTACCAGCTCTACCCGCCGGGTCAGCTCTTCGTGCGGGAAGTCAATCAGAGCCGTGCAGAAGGCACGCACTCCCCAGCACAAGTATTGCCAAGGGTATCCTGCAGCGGCTCTCACTCAGCCTTCTTCACATCCCAGCAAGATTCCACGTAAGGGAATCCATCAACTGGGGGGCACATCAGCCCTTGAAAGCCATGTGGAGATAGTTCTCCAGCAGAGGACATTTACTGTGACTTTACTGTCACTCCTTGTATTCTTTCTTCTAAGCCTATTGGTACTATGAGAGTATCAGTTGAGGTCATTAATATTGGGTGTAGCCTCCCTTCCATCTCTTTAGGGGTAACAGAAGCCAGATGGCAAAGAACATCCTTCACGCCAGGGGATTTCCAAGGGCTGGCTCACAGGGAAGGGCTTTGGCACACCCTAAGGAATCACCAGGTATGAGGGGCAGTGAAGGCCCTGGTAACTGGTGACCCTCTGTCCTAGTCTGCTTGGGCTTCTCTAACAAAATGCCACACTGGGTAGCTTATACACACAGAAATTTATTTCTCATGATTCTGGAGGCTGGAAGTCCAACATCAAAGTGCCGGCCTGGTCACATTCTGGTGAGAACTTGTTCTCCTTGTTCATCTTTGGTGCCTTCCTGCTATGTCCTCACAAGGGAAAGGGCAAGGGGTCATTTATAAGGGCACTATTTCCATTCATGAAGGCTCCATCCTCATGACTTATCCACCTCCCAAAGGCCCCACCTCATAAGGCCATCATCTTTAGGATTTGGATTTTCATATATGAACTTTGAGGGGACCTATTCAGCACCCTGGTTATTTGCATACATTGACATGCCCCCTTTCCCTTCTTAATTATGTCTTGAACACTTGAATTTTTTTCACCCAAATCCAAAAGCTTCACCCAAATCAGAGGGAACTATTGTAGAGACAATTATTTCTCCACTTAGCTTTCTACCACCTTAGGTAGAAAGCTTTTTTTTTTGCCTTTCTACATAGAAATATGCAATTCTATAGAATGTCCCCAAAGCACAGGACCACGTAGGTGGGCATTATCTGTAGTACAGCTATTTAATAATTTAGGTAATCACCTAACTATCCTTTTCTATCAAAAAATATTAAAATGATTTTAGTTGGAAGTAGAAATCTAAAAATATAACAGCTATGGAGTACGTGGGTGGCTCAGTCAGTTAAGCATCCAACTTCAGCTCAGGCCATGATCTCATAGCTCGTGAGTTCCAGCCCCACATGGGGCTCTGTGCTGATAGTTCAGACCTTGCTTCAGATTCTCTGTCTCCTCTCTCTCCCCGCCCCTCCCCCACTTGCTCGCGCGCTCTCTCTCTCTCTCTCTCAAAAGTAAATAAAACATTTTTTAAAATAAAAATATAACAGTTGTATATGATGAAAGTATCTTAAAATTCTGTTTTCTTCATTCTCCTATTCATTCTCTTCATCTTGGCCAAATGGCTTCTATTTTTTAAATTTTTTTAAGTGTATTTATTTATTTTGAGAGGGGAGGTGCTGTGACGTGGCGGGGGGGTGGGGGAGAGAGAGAAAGAGAGAATCCCAAGCAGGTTCCCTGCTGTCAGCACAGACTGCAATATGGGGCTGGGTCTCACAAACCATGAGATCATGACCTGAGAGCCAAGATCAAGAGTCGGACGCTTAACAAACTGAGCCACCCAGGTGCCCTCCAAATAGCTTTTATAGTACGTTCCTATAATATGATGTATTCCTCTAACAGCACTTACAACATTACACTGGACTGTTTACTTGTATCTCTTATTAAACTGTTCAGACGTAGGAAAGTATGTTTCCCATCTTAAGGAAGTTCATGGTCTAGTGAAGTAGGGAGAGAGAGATAAGAAAACAAATGATGACTGTCTTAGTCAGTTTGGGCTGCCATATCAAAATACCACGGACTGGGTGGCTCATCAAGGTGCTAGCAGATTCTGTTCCTGGTGAGGCTTCTCTTCCTGCCCTTGTCTTTGTGTGTGTGTGTGTGCGTGTGTGTGTGTGTGTGTGAGAGAGAGAGAGAGAGAGAGAGAGAGAGAGAGAGAGAGAGAGAACACACTCTCTAGTGTCTCTTCTTCTTATAAGGATACTAATCCCATCATGAGGGTCTCACCCTCATGACCTTATCTGAACCTAATCATCTCCCACTAATGTCATTGTTGTGAATTGAAAGTTTGTGTCTCTCCCCCTAATTCATATGTTGAAGCCCTACCCACCCCCCCCCCAGTGTGATGGTGTTTGGAGGTGGGATTTTGGGGAGATGATTAAGTACAGATGAGGTCATGAGGGTGAGACCCTCAGGATGGGATTTGTGTCCTTATAGAAAGAGGAAGAGACACTAGAGTGCACGCACAATGTCTCTCTCTCTCTCTCTCTCTCTCTCTCTCTCTCTCTTTCTCTCTGCCACATGAAGACACGACCAGGAAGAGAAGCCTCACCAGGAACAGAATCTGCCAGCACCTTGATCTGGCTCCAGAACTTCGAGAAATAAATGTCTGTTGTGTCAGCCACCCAGCCTGTGGTATTTTGATATGGCAGCCCAAACTGACTAAGACAGTCACCATTTGTTTTCTTATCTATTTCACTAGACTGTGAACTTCTTCAAGACAGAAAACAACTTTTTTCTTTTTCTGACATCTTTACATTTCCAGAAAAATTCATGAGTCAGAAGAAATGTTGAATCAATGAGTTGAATGGATCAATATGTTGCCACACACAGGAACGTGACCATTCAACAGAGAAAGATTTTATTTGAACGTCTGGCTCTCATGGTAGGAATTTCAGGAATGGGGCAAGTGAGTGCTTTCTTATATTCTGGAAAGGCAGCTGTTTCTTTGGCTATGCCTGGGTGAGCCCTAAAAATACTGGTTCTCCTTTCTATTCCCCTCCTCGCTCCCTCTTAATTAGGCCTTCCTTAAATGGAGCACCAGCTTTATGCTTCACATAAATCTCTGGCCTTGAGAAGCTTTCTCTATGTAGAGATCCTGTTCCATCATCCACTTTTCTACCCTGGGCTTTATTCTTGCTATACCTGATGTGCAGCTTTGAAGAAAATCACTAAATGCACAGATCTTCGAGGCTAAGATAAAGTGTAATAAAATGATCTGGAGCACCGTGATTTCCTTGCATAAACTTTTCAAATCATCTAAGCTGCAAGCAGAAACTCAAAATTGCCTTATGTAGGAAATGCTGTTTTCACCATTCACTTAAAGCTAGAGAGAATCGCCTTCCATAAGTCAGTTACAAACTTTGTTTTCTTTCCTCTTCTATGTTTTCTTTTCCCCCAAGAGAAACATTCACTCTTTTTTAGCTACCTTGCAGAGCTGCGCTGGAAAGTGAGATGAATCGTCAAGTTTCCACAACAGCTATAGGGAACCCGAGCTGGGCAATTGGACACTTGTGTATGGAGGACGTGTAACACCCATTTTACCCAGATGGAGCTCATTTATTTTCCGTAGCATTTTAAACCTGGGCCTGGGACCACAATTCATCCTATTTATAGTTTAACATGTAACATAATATTTACTCGAGGCTCCAATAGGAATGCTTCTTATAAATGTCAGTGGATTATTTACTATGGTAAACTAATTAGTTACATAAATGCTTCCCTTTTCAGGGTGGGTGAGGAGGAGACTGCTAATGCTTCTTGGATTAACCTAGTATTATTATCGTTTGAAGTTCTTTCACATTTAAGATAGTTATTACAAGACTACACAACTTTGCACACATAGAACATCTGTTGCTTACGTGACGTGAAGCGTTTTCATTTTAATTCACATGGTGAAATCAAACCACAGACTGCAAATGCCAAACATCCTGAATTCAGAGAGAAATCGCTGCAATCTGAACATGGTGGGGGAACGATCAACGTGCTATGCTAATGTTCTTGACTGGCACTTCAAATTCACCTTGCTTTCACGACAATTATATCAAATATGCCAAATGGTTCTAAGCGACAGAAGCACTGAAGGTCAATGATCCCTAAGCAACTATTACCGTGGTCGAAGGCAGTTTTGTTCTTGGACTTCTCAGGAATTCAGATCATTGGCAAGGAAAAATAGCAAATGAAATCTGTGTTTGAAGAATCATGTACAGGCATATTTCTCTTGGGTAGAGGGAGGACATGTTTTCCCCAGTCCTGATCACAAAGAGATTATCAATACAAAAAAAAATGTTAATGGACCTTAAAATACAGTGAGGGAAAAAAATCTTGTTCAAAAAAAGAAAACAGCAGTGTGTGAGTTTTTAATACTTTTGGCACCTGTGCCTAATTTTTCCATAACCAGAAGATTTTAATCAGGGGATGAATTTCTGACCAAGGAAGTAGCACAAAATGAAATACTGTCTGTGAAAAATATCACAGCTCAAAAAAAGTCATAATCAACTTCTGTATTTAAATATAATGCTGGGACGCCTGGATGGCTCAGTCGGTTGAGCATCCGACTTCGGCTTAGGTCACAATCTCACCGTTTGTGGGTTCGAGTCCTGCGTAGAGTTTTGTGCTGACAGCTCAGAGCCTGGAGCCTGCTTCGGATTCTGTGTCTCCCTCTCTCTCTGCCCCTTCCCCGCTCATGCTCTGTCTCTCTGTCAACAATAAATAAATATATTTTTTTTAATTTAAATATAGTGCTAATGACTATTGAGTTTTATCTGTACCAGACACAGCTCTAAGTGAGTGTCATGTCAACTCCTCAAGGTAAGCAGTGTTACCCTCTCCCTTTTAATAAATGGTGGGGAGGGGGCGCCTGGGTGGCTCAGTTGGTTAAGCTTCCAGCACTTGGTGTGGCATGGATCTCTGCCTCAGGCTCTGTGCTTAGGATTATCTCTCTCTCCTCTCCCTCTCTGCCCCTCTCCTGCTCGCTCGCTCTCTCCCTCAAAATAAATTTAAAAATTTTTTTTAAATAAAAATAAAAATGAAGGAATTCAGGCACAGAAAATTTAATGGCTCACCCAAGGTGGAGTACTGAGGCTAGAATATGGTAAGTGAAAAGTTGTCAAACTATGCTTTTGGGACTCTTGGAGGTACCTAAGACATTTGGAGGGGGGTCTGTGAGGTCAAAACTGTTTTGTAATAATGCTAACCTGTTATTTGTCCTTTTTACTCATATTCTTTCACAGGTATAAATTGAAGTTTTCCAGATGCTATGTGACCTGGGACGTTGCAACACTTTGGATGCAGAAGCAGACAGAGGAATCCAGCTGGTTTCCATTACCCCAGACATCCAAGAGATATGCAAAAATGCAACAATGCCATTCTTCTCATTAAATTCTGGTTTTGTTTTGAAAAACATATTTTCATAAAAAGCCTGTTGTTTATGTTAATATGTAATGGGTTATTTTTAAGCAAGTTAATAAACAAAATACTTCCTAGATTTAATGTTCAATGTAATAAATATCTACACATATAACCCATATAAGCAAAAAGTCTTTGGGATGCTCAATAGTATTTAAGAGTGTAAAGGGTCCTAAGATGAAAAAGCTTGAGAATGGCTGTAGTATGGTCCTTCATGGCCTATGAGAGGAGCATTAACATTTCACAGGCACTACTGACAAAACAGCCGTGACACCATAGCAGGATCTATATGTTGCCCAAAATCCAGATGGAAACAAATAAAACTCAGTCCAAGATCCAAAAGTTTTCAACACCTGAATATTTTGATACCGGACTTTGGAACTTAGATGGAAATTTTTAATATAAATGGTTTTTGGCTATTAAGAAGACCACTGCTAGTATTGCCTTTGCCTGAAATGTCCCCAAATAGCCACAGACCCCACTTGTTCACTTCGTGCAGATCTTTACTCAGATGACCTGGTCATCCTATTCAGTCAGCAATCTTCCCTCATTCCCTCCGTTACTCTCTACCCCTTTGACTTGCCTTATTTTTCTTTATAACAGTTAACCACACCTAACACATACATTTTTTTTTTCCCAATGCCCTCCACCACATGAATTAAAGCTGTTTAAAGACAAGAATGTTTATCTTTTTACTGTGTAACCCCAGCACTCAGAACAGTGTCAGAAACATAGCAGATAGTTGATGAATAAGTATGTGAATAAACGAATGAATGTTTTATGCTTTATACATATATATATATACATATATATATATATATATATAAAACCCACATAAGCAAAAGTGCAACAATGCATATATATAATGGAAGAGCAAGAACAAAAATAAAACAGGTGTTGCAAGCATAAATTATCCAAACAAATCACCAATACTGAGCAAATACTTGAGTAGACAATTATAGAGACAGCACAGTATGTTTGCTACATTTTTTTCCCCTCTTCTGGGCACACAATTCCAGCTTCCCTTGCAGTTGGGACTGTGAGGCTGAGTTTTGGCCAGTGCTTCTCAAACTTAAATACTCATATAAATCACCTGGCAATCTTGTTAAACTGTAGATATTAATTCAGTGGGTCTGGGGCCTATGACTATTTCTTTTTTTTTTTTTTATTTTTTTAATGTTTTATTTCTTTTTAAGAGACAGAGAGAGACAGAGCATGAGCAGGAGAGGAACAGAGAGAAAGGGAGACACAGAATCCAAAGCAGGCTCCAGGCTCTGAGCTGTCAGCACAGAGCCCAATGAGGGGCTCAAACCCACTAACCACAAGATCATGACCTGAGCCGAAGTCAGACACTTAACTAACTGAGCCACCCAGGCACCCCTATGACTATTTCTAACAAGTCCTCAAGTGACAATGATGCTTCTAGTCTGTAGCCCTTAAAAAATATGCCATCTTGGGGCACCTGGGTAGCTCAGTCGGTTAAGCATCCAACTTCAGCATAGGTCATGATCTTGCGGTTTGTGGGTTCGAGCCCCTTGTTGGGCTCTGTGCTGACAGCTCAGAGCCTGGAGACTGCTTCCCATTCTGTGTCTCCCTCTCTCTCTGCTCCTTCCCTGCTCATGCTCTCTCAAAAATAAACAAACATTAAAAAAAAATTTTTTTTAAACATGCCATGTAGAAGCAATAACACCCCAGCAGCACAAAGAACACCTAACCTCCAAATTGTGGTTTCTCCTGTAAAAGGAACTACGACTCCTTGGAGAAATGGCTGTTTCTAGGACTGAAAATAAGAGCTTTGAGGATCTGGTTCTGCCACAGAGTAAGAAAGTGCTTACTTATGCCAAAGGGACACAGGAGCCAACTGAAACAGTCCCAGTGTCCAAAGCTGGAACAATTTGGGTCACAAAATTAAAAAAAAAAAAAAAAGTATTGGATTACAATCCAAACTATAAAATAAATATACAAGAGTCTATATGTATAGAGGTAAATAATTTAATTAATTAATTAATTAATTAGAGAGAAGAGACCAGCGTCCTGTGCAGGAGAGTTCCAAATAATTTGTATAGTCTGTCTTCAAGGGGGAGGAGCACAACTTCCCACTCCTTAGGGATAGGCTGTGCATAGGGACTTTGTCCAAAGACTATAGTATTGAAAGACAGAAAAGAAACTAGCTTTATGGTGGAGACACATGGCAAACACTACCTCAGCTAAGCGATCAAGATCAACATCAACAGTGAAAAATCATGTTGATAAGTATATTGATATGATGTAATGACAATGGCCTCTTGCCTCTGTGGTCTTTCTCCAAAACAAAAATACATAAGCCCAATCTAACCATAAGAAAAATTCCAACTGAGGGACGTTCTGTCAAATACCTGACCAGTATTTCTCAAAACTATCAGGCCATCTAAAACAAGGAAAGTCTGAGAAATAGTTACAGCCAGAAGAAGTCTAAAGAGACATGACAACTAAATGTATTTTGGCACCCTAGATGGGATACAGCAGAGTGGCCACAAACCACAGAAATAGATCCCACTAAACAAAATGAATCCCCAACTTAACTTCCCCTTACCCTGGTCCTAAAAATGCTCACAGCCCCTCCAAAACCACCGGACACACAGGAGAGTGAGACGAAGGAGTCACAGTAAAAAACATAGCAGTCATAATGAATTGCAGTTAAAATATCTTTTGCAAATTTTACAAAAAACACATAAGCACATTCCTAGGGCCCTCCCAAAGCCTCAGAAAAAGCCCATGCAGAGGAGGGTACCAGAAGCTTAATCTTGAATAGCTTCATGGCAAATCCACCTTTGGGCATAGGTTGCCTTTAAAGTCAAACATTTGGATACTATATAGTATGGACTGTGGAGTCAAGCAGCCCACAAATAGAATCCTAGCTCCATAATTTAGTAGCCACAAGATCTTGGGCAAGGTTCTTAACCTCTGTGGCTCATTTTGCTCCCCTGTAAAATGGAGATCATAGGAGTACCTACCTCATGGTGTTATGAGGATTCAGTGATTGGCACATTGTGTAAATATTCAATAAATATCGGCTGTTATCTTTCTTAATGGTAGGGGTGCAAGGGGCAACAACCGGTTTTTCCATTTTGAATGGAATATACTGCCAAGCCCCATCTGCTGTTTACCATGGTAAATTCACAGTTTGCATTTGGATGGGGCCTCTTCAACTTCATCTTGCCACTGAAATCAAAGACCCATTTCGATGACAACATCTCTTCAAGCAATTCTGGCCTTCAGATAACAGTCACTAACAAGCTTTTCAATAACCCAGGACTCCCTTCAATAATGTATTTCTCAAGGAATTGCAAAGGGAGGGTCCTCTGTGTCTTCCTGAGGGGGCATAATTAGCTGGTGGTTGGAAGATTATACATGATAAAGTCACTCAAGGATCCCTAACTCTTTGAATTCCTTCCTGTACCTGCTTACAAAAGATTTTTAGTATCTCAGTTTCATTTGATGGGAGCTGCTGTTGAAGCCCCATTTTTGTTGGTCAACTAATCAAGCTAAAAATTGGAATGACTTTCAGCTGCTAAAACTAGTACACTGATCCCAGAATCTCTGGTAAGCCAAGTCTTTTCAACAAACTCATTCTGATTTAAAATTAGATTTCTTCCTCTTTGTTTGGGAAGCATCCCATCAAGAATTTATTTCCACATACATTCTCTAGTATTTTGGTGACAGAAATTAATAGTCCTATAATTCTTTGTTATGGAGGCCTCCCCTTCCCAACTTAACTGTTTTATCAGGCTCTTGGGGCATGCTGAGGTCTGATACTAGTTACATGTTTAGAGTTAAGGACCTGTGGGGTTGAGGGGGGTAGATGGTGGTGAGTGGGTAAGGCCTGAGAAGAACTGGTTTCCCACTGGGAGGGAGTTGCAGCATCTTCAAGTGAGAGTACGTCCCCTCCCTTCACCACATGAGAAACTGAGCTGTTTTGACTGACAAGGAAGTCTCTCTGAAGTCTGGGAGGCCAGCTACCTCTCTGAGTCCTTCACATCTTCCCACACTTCCTCATTTTAATTCTTTCTGTAACACAATGTTTTTCCATTTTTTGGGTTATAAGCAGAATTTTTAAGATAGAATAAAAATAGAAGAATACTTTGATTATAATAAAGGTAACTATTATTTCACGACATTTGTTTTTCAGTTGTCTTGAGAGGTGTGTGTGTGTGCATGCTGGATCATGATGTAAGAAATAGGTCTTGTAAGGGTTGTGGTCAAAAACATTTGAAAGCTACTTGTGTAAAAGTCTTGACAAAACTGTAGCTTTGACTAATGTAATTCAGCAACATAAATTTGAATTTGGTTTTGGGCTCCCTCAACCATGCAGCTTTAGGTGGTAAGAGATTGTTTGTTTTGTTTTGTTTTTAAGTAGGGTCACAGAAAGTCAAGGAGTGAAATCTCTGCCTTCAGCTGAGGACTTGTGTATTTGGGTTTATCATTCTTCTTTCTTTAGATTTTCTAGAAGAACCCATTCCAACCACTACTCTTGAGTTCTCACACCTTCACATTCTCAGTAATATGGTCCCCCAAATACTGTCTTCAATGAGTGCTTCAATGCAGGTAACAATGGACAATAAGTTAATTAGTATTTGCCACTTCATATTGCTGGGGAGGAAAAAAACTTTCCTCTATCGTTCAAGATTAGTATAACTGGACTAAGAATTAAATTGACATGAGACAGATTAACAGGGGGAAATTTAATTTCAAACATAAGGGAATCCACAAGACAGACAAAATGAGGTATACATATCATCCTGAGCTGAAGAGATAGGGGTAGGGGCCCGGCACTTCAGAGGGAAGGAATGCAATTTACAGGAAGGTGTAAAAGAGCAAATTGTTTGGTAAACAGATATTTGCTGGACCATTCAGAAACAATGGGATAGAGAGAGGACTTTGATCAAACAGCTCTTGCTAGGCTCCTCTCTGTCCACCATACCTAGTTCATATCATAATGCAGTTATCTATGGTGATAGCTCTCTTCCTGGAGCAGCTCCTCTTCTAAATTCTTTCAGGTAGTTGAGGGTTGGGGGAGGTCAAAATTCCTTCCTGAGTCTTTTGGGTTTTGGTTATTTTCAGCTCAGCATAATTTGCATGACAAAGTGGCCCATCTTGGGGTCATCTGCCCTCAGACCCCTACAATATTAAAAGTTGTCCATGATTAACTAATACTAATGGAATTTTTACCAGACTCTTCCCAATTTTCATTTTTCTTCTCTCTCTGAGGACTGGTTGTCTGCATCACATTCCTCATTATTAATGTCTGTATCAAAAGTTTTTTTTTTTATTTTAAGCATTAAAAAAACATTCTAAATAATTTCAGGAGAAAATAAATTTACATTGGAAGAGACTAAGTACTTGTGATGAAAGAAAAAAAACCCTCTATTGGCCTGAAATATACGGGAAGTAATTTTAGATTTTTCTAAGTCAGCTTGACTGTACATAAACTGTTTAAACCAAAAGCCTAATTTATGGCCCACCAAGCATACATCATGCACCTACTTTGTAAATGAGTAGTCTAAAGGAAAACCATCTTCTCCTTAAAATATTGATCAATGTGGGGCGCCTGGATGGCTCAGTCGGTTGAGCGTCCAACTTCGGCTCAGGTCATAATCTTACAGTTTGTGAGTTGGAGCCCCAAGTCGGGCTCTGCACTGATAGCCCGGAGCCTGGAGCCTGCTTCCGATTCTGTGCCTCCCTCTCTCTGCCCCTTCCCCGCTCATGCTGTGTTTCTGTCTCTCAAAAATGAATAAACGTTAAAAAATTAAAAAATAAAATAAAAACATTGATCAATGCTACTACTCCCTGCATTCCTTAACATTAAAACTTGTGATTCTTGCCTATATGCTAATCGATAATCTTTCAAGCTTTCACAAGATGTAAAAAAAAAAAAAAAAAGCATATAACCCTTTAAAAACAGTTCATTCTCCAGAGAACCTTTTTCCCTATGAAAAGTGTGTTTCCTGGCAACTGTCCTCACTCGGGCTCAAATAAAACCCTCTTACTTTTAGAGATTCTAAAAGGTTTGTTCATTTTGTGTCAACACCTAGAAGTCTAGAGAACACTGGTAAATAGGCTAGAACCAAATGCAGGTTCTGGACTCAGTACTGAAGCCACCACCTTAAAAACATTTCTCAGCAGTTCCTGTATCTTTATCTCTTTCCACTACTATTCAAAATCCTAGGCAGGAGCATTAGATTGGTTGAGCATGGTCACATGTCTGCATCTTTCCTGCTGGAGGCATGAAGGAATTTCTATAGTTTATATGAAGTGGAGGAAGGCCTTGCCTAGCATGAAATTGCAACCTATTGCAGATCCTCAAGAATAAAAAGGAGGTCTGGATGTTAGGAAAAGAAAAAAAAGTCAAATGTCTGCCAAAAGTTTTTGTCCCATTCTGCAACTATGTGGGTGCTGTCCCTCTTTCTCGCTAAACTGTGAGCTACTTCAGCAATTATCTTGTTTTGCTTTGTATGCCTCCAACCACAGCCCTGGATTAAAGATGGTCATCAAGGGGCAGCTAGGTGGCTCAGTCCGTTGAGCGTACGACTTCAGCTCAGGTCATGATCTCACACTCTGTGAGTTCGAGCCCTGTGTCGGGCTCTGTGCTGACATCTCGGAACCTGGAGCCTGCCTCGGATTCTGTGTCTTCCTCTCCCTCTGCCCCTCCCTTGCTCACACTCTGACTCTGTCTTTCAATAATAAGTAAACATTTAAAAAAAAGTTTTTAAGATAGTAATCGAGAAAAGTGTTGGGTTGTTGTTTTTTTTGTTTTGTTTTAATAAAATAACTTCTTGAGTCCTTGAGAAACACAAACTAGAGTCAAGGTGAGCGACTTTACAAAAACAAAACAAAACAAAACAAAACAAAACAAAACAAAACAAGATCAAGAATAGTTCAATCTTCCTGGACTCAGCAGCAAGGTCACCCAGAATCTGTAAGAGACAAAAAAGCCAGACAGCTGAGACTCGCATCTACCCCCAGGCTGGCCTGCACAAAGGAAAAGGATCCAGGAAGAAAAATCCAGAAATTATGCTAACTAGGCAAATCGGTGATTAAGTCAGGATCAAAATCTAGAATCTATTAATTCAATATCTTCTTTTTAAAAAAATCTTATCCTCTTTTTATTTTTTTAAACAAAAATTCCCTTGGGGCACCTGGGTGGCTCAGTCAGTTGAGCGTCCAAGTTTAGCTCAGGGCATGATCTCGCAGTTCGTGAGTTCGAGCCCCGTGTCAGGCTCTGTGCTGACAGCTCAGAGCCTGGATGCTGCTTCGGATTCTGTGTCTCCCTCTCTCTGCTCCTCCCCCACTCATGAGTGTGCGCTCTCTCTCTCTCAAAAATAAATAAAGCTTATAAAAAATTTAAATAAAAATTCCCTTTGAATTATTGCATTTTCTCAGCTGCACCAAAAGTGATCTAGGCTAATGTATCTATCAGGAGAGACAAGGCAAAGCTGAGTTGTTCCATGGAGACCCAGAAGAGGTAGGATGACCAAGAGATCAATGAGGCTTGATCAAGAAGCCCAAGACAAGAAACTAGGGGATTCCTTTTTCCTTGGGATCACTCACCTAGGGGTGGGAGGAGGAAGAAGAGCCAGGGAGGGAAGCAAACAAAGTGAAATCAGTAGCAGGTGGAGGGAGTGGTGGTTGGAGGCAAACTAGAGGGACAGATGTCAGAACAGGCATCTCCAAAAGAAAGAAATGTGCATTCAGCTGATGGCCACATTCTAAATCGCACAGAGGGAAACAGGAAAAAAAAAAAAAATGTTCAGCACAGTGAAACTGTAGGTCTAGACAATCCAAAACTAGGATGCCTAGCTCCTAAAGGACAGATGTCTGCAAATTCCCTTCAAACAGTGAAACATTTGTGGTTCCTTTTAAATATGTCAGAATTAGGCTCACTAATAATTACAACACTTCCTTTGTCTCTACTTTTCTCAGTTCTCCATGTTCCTCAAGTCAGTAACATTAGGATAATTATTTCAGAGAGAGTGATTTAGGATACTCAGAAGGCATCCTAGCCAGAGTCGAACCACAAACCCTTAGGGCTTCCAACTTTAGAACTCAGGCTGCGGCTGCTGCTTCCTGGTTTGTTGATTAAGATGCATGAATGATAGTTTTTTTATAGATTTTATGACTTCTTCATAAGTACCAGTCATTTTAAATTCAAAAAATCCTTTCTAATTTTGGTAGTCAACTGAACGCCTTGGACATTCTTGTTGGAGAATTAGTACCTCTTGGTGGATGGCCTTCACACCAGACTGTTACATCTATTAATAGTCATGTGTGGATCTTTTTCTGGCCAGAAGCAAGTAAATGCTCCAGGTTTAATTTGTAATATACAAGAATGGATACCTGTTCATTTGGACAAAATATTTTTAAAATTTTGAAACTCTGAGACTTTTTAATATCTGCTACTGACCTACTATGTCTTATCCTTCGAGTTTCCTTACAAACAATTTTACTGAGTCCTAGAAAAAAAGCGCTAAAGCTGAATGGCTGGAGATATCAGAGTATGAATTAGAATCAAAGATTTGCTAGTTATTGGGTTCTTCAGAGAAGCTTAAAAACTTCTGGGAATTGGGTCATGTCCTAAAGAAGAGTGGCTTAATTCAATGTTTACAGTGTTTCTTTATGTGTGTGTGAATTTAATCCTCTGAACCACCAATATTTTGTAGCTGGGTTCCCCTTATGATTATGTCACATGCTCAATGTCGTTTTTTATTATTGACATTTCCCATGCATATTTCAACTTGACACATGCCTCCTTTCCCAGTTACATTACAAACTTCTAAAAGGCAGAGCCTGTAACTCCTCTTTATTTCCTTGCAATACCTGCTCCAGTACTTTGCATCAAGTAGGTGCTAGAGAGGGGCACCTAGGTGGCTCAGTGGGTTAAGCTTCTGACTTCGGCCCAGGTCGAGATCTCATGGTTCATGAGTTGAGCACTGCTTCATGCTGTCTGCTGTCAGTGCAGAGCCTGCTTTAGATCCTGCCTCCCTCTCCCTCTGCCCTTCCCCAGCTCATGCTTTCTCTCTGTCTCAAAAATACATAAAAACATTAAAAAATATTTTTTAAAAGTAGATGCTAGATAGATGTATGATCACTGATGAAACCAGCAGAAACCATAAGTGTAGAGGAGTTGACCAAGTAAGGGGAGAGATGAGCAGAGCCATGAGCCCAGCGCTCAGAAGCTGCCAGCACATTGGCTACACATCATGAGTCACACCAAAGAAAGGGTGACCCTACTTCCCCACTTGAAGAAAAGAGCTTGGTCCTGGCCATTTGGAGCTTATCTCCCACCTGTTCTAACTTCATCTGAGAGATCTGGTTGACCATCATACAGTTGTGCTCCTCAACCCCTCCTCCTGCCTCTTCACTTACATTCCTGAACTAACAGAGAAGCAAAGTAACTAAAAGGAAATATACAAACATGGTCATCACATACGCAATAGGCATTACTGTCAGAAAGGACATGTGGAATCCAAAGGGGCCCCAACCTAAAGCCCAGAACCCAATAAATAGCAAATCTTTGATTATAATTCATACTCTGATATCTCCGGCCATTCAGCTTTAGGGCTTCTTTTCTAGGACTCAGTAAAATTGTTTGTAAGGAAACTCGAAGGATAAGACATAGTAGGTCAAGATGTTGACACTCTTCTGAATTGAGGTTTGGATGAGAAAAACCTGAGGGAGCCCAGTCCTTTCAAGGATGCCCTAAGAGCTAAAGGCCAATCCCTTATTTGGCCTGATTTTTAAAAGATCTGAACAATACATTAGTTTCAAGACTAACCCTAGATTTAATTCTATCACAGAGTTGGACCAGTGAACCTAGTTTTGGTCTAATATTCCCAGCTGCACCCACCAGAAATAATTGATCTAAAATATTTATTCAGGGATTATTCTGTCCAAAACATGAACGAAGTGGATACAAAGATGACAGACACAGGCGTATAGACCCACTCAGACTCTGTCCAGTGGAGATCAAACACATTCCTTGTAAATTATAAGACAATGTAAAACAGGGCTAACGCCATACAAAAGGGGCATGAGGAAAGTCCTGTGAGAATTCAGAAGAAGTAGAATTCTCTTCTACTTCATGACAATCAGGAAAAGTTTCAAGCCAGCATATCATAGAAATTGGTGGGTTTGGGCCAGAGCTAAACTTGTGTGCAGAAAGACAGTCGGAGATGCAGCTGAAAAGTATTCTTACGGGTCTTTAAATTCTTCAAGGGGCAGTAGAGGACCTTACTTTTTTTTTTTTTTAACTTTTCGAAATTTTTTTATTTTCTGTTAACCTTATTTCCATTTTGTTTGCCTTTGTGGAGGGGCAGCTTAAGACCACTCCGGGGTTGTTCCTACCAACTCAGTGCCCGGAACAGTGGGAGCTGCACACCGGTCCGCACGGCAGGCTGAGAGCGCCAGGCTTCAGGAGGGAACTGCTGAACAGGCACAGAGGGCACCCGCTGCGCCTGCAGACCAGTCTGCGACTTCAGGTTGAGTAGCGGTGACCTCACTGGAGCTGGAGCAGTCCATCCACCCTGAAATTCCTCCTTGCTCACAGCCTTTTCCTTTTCAACCTCTTCAGGTTCTCTGTAGAAGCAGAGATCAGGCGTGACCTCCCATGGGTGTTCACGGGAAATGGCGTCACGCACGTGCAGAACTTCCTGGACCACCGTCCACCACGTCAGACCCACTGAGCGAGCTCCCTTGTTGTTGCAAGGCGCGGCAATGTCCACACGGCGCAGAGGAGAGTTTGTGTTACGCAGAGTGATGGCAGGGGGGTTACCAGAAGACGCCTCTGTGGGAGGGTGGTGGTCAGCCCTGGGATCCTAACCACCCCAAGTCTCGGCTCCCGGAAGGCTGCCTGGATCGGGTTAGTGAAGGTTCCAGGAGTGAAGTGGCCGGCAGTGGGACTGGCTCCAGTAGCAGCCGCAAACTTCAGCCCAGCTCGCTGGCCAGGATTCCTGGGTGATAGGACACTGACGGGAGCCGTTTTCAACGGCAACAATGGCACAAGCTGCCAGCAGAAGCTTCTCCCATGTTCTCTTCAGATGCCATCACATTTCCTTTTATAGATGTACTGTTCCATCTGGAAGTCAAGGTTTGTGCCACCTAAGTGGGGTCCTGCTGCAAGGAATTTGAGGACACCCTCCTCCTCCTTCATTTACAGGACATCAAGGGCTCTAGCCATTGTGAACATTTCTCTTTAAGTTATGATGGGAATGCAGAACAACACCATATGGACCCCTCCCTGGGTAGTGTAGAAAGGGGGGACCTTACATTCTTGGCCAAAGAGTTTGGGTTTCTTTCAGTGGACAGAAGGAGCCACTGTAGGTTACGAGCAGAGGAGTGCCATGAACTGTTCCTATGCAGAGATGAACCTAGCAGCAAGAAAGAGAAAGGACCAAGGTGAGGAAAAATGGAGTGTAGACAGAACAAAAGCAATGATGTTCTTGGTGGTGGGAACAGCAGGCAGCGAGGACTGGAAGCCCCAAGTCTGGCTGTGGTGGAATCTGGGGAAGAGGAACCAGATGACCTGACATTCTGCTCTGGGATGGCAGGCAATGGAGTAGTATCCTTGACTTCATGACCGAACACAAGTGGGAAGACAAACCAGAGGAGAGACAACAGTGTTGAGACAAACAGAAAAATTACTTCAGAGTAGCGCATAGTACCTGTGTGGGCTTTTTGTAAAATGTTTCTAAGACCCTCATTACCAGGAAAGGGTACCATGTATTTTTTTTTTTTAAGAAAATAGTTTTTCTTAATCCAAATCTGAGCTCACAAGTCAGCATCTAATTTACTTTTTACCATGGCTTTTCAATACTATTGTCAAGTGAAAGGAGCTTCACATTCAAAATTTATCTTCAACTCTGCTTTTTCACTACCATCCTGTTAGCCCACAGCCATGGACAAGTTTTCTCAGGACGGCTCGAACTTTCATTTATTCCTCCTTAAATTTTATTTTTAAAATATCTACAACGTGTTCCCAGTAGTTCTGAAGAAAATGTAATTGTGGAGGAAGTTTTACCACAGCTGTCTCCAGGCACTACCTTTCTTCCTCTTAGATATCCAAGCTACTTTCAGTTTGCTTGTTTAGCTCTTCTTCCTCTTCATGTAACATGTAACTTCATGTAACTTCTCCCAAATTCCTTCAGTACTACATGACAGGATGTAACTTCTCCCAAATTCCTTCAGTACTACATGACAGGATGTACAAAATTCTTCAAGACTTTTTTTCCCCAATGCACTCCAGCCCCGTTTTTCTCAGTCACACTGGATCATGGTGAGCCAGCATGAACTCCAGGCTATGACTTCCCCAGCAGGTATCTCTATGGAATTGAAGAGGACATTAGCCCAAACCTATAAATTCTGGATCTGTCGCTTTGCTTTGGTTGTTCAAGTTCACCCAGCCAAATGCACAAAACCAGGTGGAAAGTAAGCCTCACTGGACAGTCATCAAGAGGAGCAGTGCTATAACCTCAGAACATGTTTTAGATGTTTAATTTCTACCAATAGTTGTCACCCATTACGCCCCTGCCCATTGGGCTATTTTTCTGTGATAAATCTCCAGAACTTCTCCTTTCAGAAACTCTTTTTTCTACCCCATCCTGACTCCTCTTCCCTTGATAAATGATATGCATAGACATATGTATATATACATAAATACCTGTTTTCTTCACGTATGGGAGTAACTCCACTGTCAATCACCATTACCTGTACATGTAACCCACTTAACCGCACTCTCCATTTTGGAAACTCCAGTTCCCTGAAAAGTTCCTCTGCTCCACAATTATTTCTGTGTCTTGGAATCATCAAGAACAACTCATCACAGATATTTTCTCTTCCCCTGCTCAGGCAGCATTAGTCCCTTTGCTTTTGTGGTGTGAATGTCCCAGCTAGCCATGAGATAGTTGTCCTGTGGGTGCCTGCTGGCCTGGCATCGATGCTCATGCAATGTACCTGAAGGAATAAAGAATATGCCACCCTGAAGTATGACTGTAGAAGTTCAGGACACCCTACCCCAAAATATGCAGCTTTGGTACAGTGATTATTCTGAGCTACAGGCACTTGAAAACCAGCGAATGCACGCAAGGGCTTTTTCTGAACCGCCCCTTCTTTGCCCTAAAGACACATCTTCCCATAGGAACTAAACTGTCATGAAGGTCCTCCCACAGAGTTTTACCATCTAGGAAAGATTGACCCCTGTCACAGGAGAGGAGACAAGAAGTGGATACCACACATAAACTTCATCACAAACTATCCTCCCTCCCTCCCATCTACCCTTCTAAGGGCCCACTCATCTTTCCTAAAAATCATTTACCCTCCTCTAAGAGGCCTACATTTCCTTCCCCTTTCCCTATTAAGATGGTATTTATATTGTAGTAATCATTTTGAAATATATATATGTCAAGTCATTACTCTATACACCTTATATCTATATAGCATATGTCAATTATATCTCAATAAAACTGAAAGAAAAAAATAAACATAATAATAATAATGAATTTTTTAAGTAGATGGTTTTTAATCCTGAATCCCAAGCCACCTTGCAAGTTATTCATTTTTCCCTGGTTATCTCCCATGTATACATGAAGTATACATGTTAGTAAACTTCAGTTTGTTTTTCTCTTGTTAATCTCTCTTTTGTTACAGGGGTCTCAGCTAAGAACTCAGAAGGGTAGAGGGAAAGTCAGCTTTCCTCCCCTGCATAGCAAAGCCACGTGTTGTGTCAACCAACGTAGCTGACACTGGATATGACTTCTACCCCCACATGACGGTAAGGGCACCAATTCCCAAGGCTTCCAAAGCTTTGGATGCCCCTCCTTGGCCACTGGTGAGGCCTTCTCCTCTGTCTCCTCCTGCTGCTGTGCCAGAAATCAGTTGCACTGGGGACCACTGCCAGAACCCAAGGCACCACTGAGGCACAGGAGCTACCAGAGTGCCCCAACTCCCAATACTCCAGTCACTCCACATTCCAGGTGCCCAGGCCTCTCCGCCCCTTTGTTATTGTGTGGGCTGCTCTCAAAACAATGCAACTCTGTACTCTCAATGTTTCAAAGAGAGTTTGTGTAGAAACAGCTCTTCCTTTCTTTGTTATACCAAAAGCTCTCCCCACCCCCACCCAGGGATTAAGACACAAGTCCTTTGGGGGTTGGGTGAGGGGACTAAAAGACAGAAACAGCTACACTTGCAATAGTCCTTTTCCTTTGATGCCTGAGGCGTAGCTACCTGACCAGCCTGGGGCCTGCTTGAATCTCTACTCTCTTCAGTAATTTATTTTCTGTGAGGTTCAGTTCCTTCCAACTGGTCCTGACATTTCTGAATCCCAAGAAAAGATCCCCTTCATCTCAAACTGTTCTCGCTGCCACCTGACCCCCTCCACTCCCAAGGCAAGAGAAGGGGATCCAGTGAAATTACCTGTAAAGTAGTGGGTGCCTCTTAGAAGGGAAGTGGGTGTGCATTTGCTGAGCTGAAAGATCAGCAGTGACCTGATGCTTCCATCGGAGCAAAGGAAACTGTGGTAAATTTGAGGATGAGCTTTACAGCAGTCCCTTAGCATTTGGAGACAGAACTAAATTTAGAAAGGAAAGCCTGCTTTGCATCCAGAGATTTCCAAAGATGAGAGGCTTTGGGGTGTTACCTGCAACAATAGGATGAGATGGAATCATGGTGACAGTAATGAGTGTGGAAGAAGATACAGCCCTGACCCCACTCCAGATCCCTGTAGCCTTTCAAAGGGCAAGGAAGAGGACCTTGGCAGCTTCTGGAACCTCACAGAAAGGAGTCGTAGGGAAGAGAGGGAGCACAAGCCATGGATGTGCCCTGAAGGACCTGGATGTAGGGATTTCCCACCCAGAAAGATGCTTAAGGGTGTGGACCACTGTCAAAGACCAAAGAAAGATACACCTAGCCCCTCAGTACTAGACAGGGATGGAATGTGACTTCATTGTCCAGAGACCACCCTAGTGACTAAAGCCACCACCAGCATAGAAAGCCAGCTGAGCCAGAGTAAGACCAGGGCAATCTCCTTCCTCAGACAGAGTCAGGCAGTGGGAGCAAACCCAGCCTTCACTCCATTTCTCTTCCCCAATATATGGGAGAAGCTAAAGCCTAGAAAAGAGCAGAGGGCCTGGAACCAGATCAGTGGCTCATGTGCATGCGTATGTGAACACACCCCCAACATACAAGATTCAGAGGAGGAATGAGAAAGAATGAGAAAGTAGACCTGGCCCCCCCCCCCCCCCCCCCCCTGCCACTTGCCAAGTCCCCTGATCCAAAGCCTGGCTGGATGCTCAGACATTCAAACTGACTATAGTATGCAGCTTTACATTAGATTAGGCTGTCCTGAGTTTAAATAACTGAAAATGACTGGGAAGTTATCAAATCTGTTCAAGACGTTTTTATGGGCTCTGCACCAAAGAGAAGCCTAGATCCAGCACTGCACAGTTGGGGGCAGTGAATGGGGGAAAAGATGGTACCTACCAAGTTCACACTGATCAATAAGCAAGTTACATTTGCGATGTTCTCTCTTAAGCACACAGAAGATCTAACACCTTTCTCCAAATCTCCTTTCCAGGGCTCGAAGTTGTACAGGAGAGAGATTAGAAGGAAATGCAGTCGTATTTCAAGAAATTTCCTTAAACCTCTCAAATTGATTTGGGTACCTTTTATAGCCACAAACTTCCCAGGATTATATGTTGCCTTTGCTCTCATCTCTGTTCCTCCTAAATTGAAGCTCTGGAAGTTGGGATGAAAGCCATGAATATAGAGAAAATATAAATTGTGCAAATTAATCTTATTCCTTCTTCCTCCCACTTTAACCCCTGCTCCTGCCTCTGCCTAAAAAAGACATTTGGAACATCTACTCAGCAATGAACAGACCTTTGTGCATTGAGTATGCTCTTGTAGCAAGCATGATCTGCTTGACCAACTTGAGATACAAATCAAATCCCAACTCCAATTAACCTCCCAAAGCCTCATCTATCTTTTTTTTTCCTCCAGGAATTCTAAAATCTTCCTCTTGGGAGATTCTTGGAAACCTCAGAGATTCACTTAATCCACAGGAAGTGAGTGCAATGGAAAGCGAGAGTCCCCACCATTACCATGCTTCTGCCTGCCACGCAATGTCACTGTTGAACACTGGTCCTGCACAGTCCAGCGCCCACAATGGCTTACTGCCCGAGTAATGGCTCTGAGTTAGCCCCCTATAACTTTACTTTATAACCAGCTCTCTGGCTTCAGACTCACATGCTAAAGCACTGTTCTCCAAAGCAAGAATCAAGCAAGTAGGCTTCCAGCCTCAGCCACATTGTGCCTCAGCCTTCTCCCAAACTGCTTTGGACCTTTGTGATGAGTCTAGGGTACCTAATGCAAACTGGTCCACCAGACTCTAAGAGCTGTACGCCTTGTTAAGCCAAACAAAAGATTCTGGTACACCCTTCAAAAAGGCCTTGCATTAAGCATACTAGAGATTTTCACTCAAATGACTTTTTTCTGAAGAAAGATCTACTCCAAAATTTTTTGCCATATCCACCTACACTGTGGATTACTGAAATTTCTCTTGCTAAAAACAATTTTACCAGGCACCCTGTTGTGTATTTCAACTCTTAATTAATAAATTTCGTACTACTCAGGAACTTTGGGAGTGGCATTGAGGTTTAACTCTGAAATGACCAACATATTCTTCCTTGGCTGAACCAAATAATAATTTGGTGCCAGATTATTGAATTGTAACCCGACATACCCCCTCAATCCACTCTCCCTCCCTCCTCTTTGTTCCCAAGAACACTTTTCCTCACTTTACAGTTGGGTTTGGCCCATGAGAGGCATCTGCAAAAGATGAGAGCTAGGCCGTGACCACAACAGACCCCTTCTCCAGTTGGGTGGCCCCATCCATATACCACCCTTCCCAGCTTCCAGTGCCCATGCTTCCTTCTCTTCCACCACTCCCCAGGACACTGCACTATTCCTTGTTTATTTCTCCAATCCTGCCCGTGACTTGAAAAATGTCCCTCTACAAGATTATCTTCAGATTTCCAAATTTGCAGGTGCCATCTAGTTTCTGCTCAAACCATGACTGATACATCAAGAGTAAAATGAGTAGTCTCTCTAATTTAAGCAAACCATGCTTCTGATTACTGCAACTTTGTATACAAAAAACTCCCCTGTGGCCAGATTCAAGAGGACTCTCAACCATAGCAATATCCCTAGGCCATAATTTAAAATAGTAGACCCTCTTCTAATACCAACGTTGTTCTTGTGGAACCTTAGGGTCAACAATTTCTGCTGAACAATACTCTGCAGCTCTGGGCCAATGGCAAACTGATTTTCAGTGAATTGGCCTTTAAGCATAATGCTCATTTGGTAAAATGACTTTGGCAACTTGATTTTTGGTAAAGTGACTTGCTTTCACACTCGATGCTTCCCTTGTACCACCAGTGAGTTTCCTTGCTGTTTTGGTTTTGAACCTAATGTCTCTCCTACTACACTGTAGGATCCTTTCAGAGGGAGAATCATGTGCTATTCATCTTTGTGTTTTCCCCAGCCCTCTCTTAGGGCCTGATATGGTGTTATGCACAAATAGCTAGTCAGTAAATGTTGGTGAAAGAAAGCGAGTGAACAGAAGACACAGTGAAACACTGAAGCAAATCAGAGAATCTATCAGAGATACACGAACTGTTATACGTGGACAGAGACGGTTCCTATCTCAGTGTGAAACAGTCACTGAGAGAGAAATGAAGGAGGTGGGGGAAGAGAGGGATGGAAGGAAGGTGTCAGAAGAGGAAGGATGGAAAAGAAGAGGGAAGGGAAAATTAAGAAAAGGAAGACAAAGAGGGAAACATCCTTTTATAAATCTATCCTTTTTTAAAGATGCTTTTAAATGCTTATTTACTTATTTACTTTTAAGACACACAGAGAAAGAGCACAAGCAGGAGAGGGGCAGAGAGACGGAGGGAAGC